CTTCCCAGGTTCAGGCAATTCTCATGCCTCAGCCTCCCAAGTAGCTGGGATTACAGGCACATGCCACCATGCCCAGCTAATGTTTTGTATTTTTAGTAGAAGCGGGGTTTTGCCACGTTGGCCAGGCTAGTCTTGAACTCCTGACCTCAAGTGATCCACCAATCCTTCCAAACTACTGGGATAACAGGCATGAGCCACTGCACCTGGCCCCTGAGTAATATACCTACATTTAAGGGGCAGGTCATGAAACAAGAAGGAGTAAAACTAAATAGGGCAGAGAAACAAGGAAGAAATAGTATTGTGAGAACCAACAGAAAAATGAGTTTTAATTAGTAGGGGATGGTTACTAGTGTGGAGCTCCGTGAAATGTCGAGAAAGAAACTCCTAAAAACCAAGCAGCTTGGTCAGGTGGTCATTGGCATTGTAGGACTCTTTCAGAAGCACGGTGAGGGTGGAAACCAGGTTATAGTGCACTAGGATGTGGTCAGAAGATGGGGAAATGGAAACGTTTTCTTTGAATTGTTTTTCTAGAATGGATGGTTCACCATTTCATCTACTCTCTTGTTGCTCTGTTACTCCTAGAGATGTAGGTCACCCGCTCTTTGGAAAACAACTGGCTGGGCTGAAATAGTGCAAGCCTTGAACTTTGAAAAAACGTTCTTTTTTTTCAATGATAACTGGCCTCTACAGGATTTGTCTGGAGCCTTAAGCTGCCAATTAGAACCTTAACCAACTGAGTGAGTGATTTAGATGTACAGTGTAGTAACTGGAAAGGTTGTATGAAATGTAACTAAGACAGGATCCCTAAACTCCACAAGTTTATCTGTCCAGGCATGAATTTTAAACAGCACCCTGCCCCTTTCTGTACTCTCCCCACATTCCCTTTCAGTGCCTCTGGGCCTCCTGTGGAGGCCCCTGCTGGCCTGACCCGGTAGGACTCAATGACAGTAGAAGAGGAGGAAGGCAGAGAAGACTGAAAAACAAACCAATTTCTCCACAGTTCAGCCAGGGATTCATTCTGTGCTAAGGTGTCAGATCTGTCCACTAGTTCCTCCTATAGTAAACGAAACTATTTTGACTTAAAAACATTTGATAAAAATCTCTCCCTCATTTCTATACTGAGAATAAATTCCCTATAGAAGCTATCAGTGCCAAAAGTGTAAAATATGGCCAAGTCAGAAATTTTGTCAAAAGAGCCTATATTTAATGGATAAGCCAGATTTCTATCTAAAGTACAATTGACTTCCCCCAGTACTATTTCTATCGCCAAGTTTCCTCAGCTGTTTTTGATTGTTAAATATATTGGTATCACTAGAGTTAAGAATTGCTTGAACATATTGTGTTCTTTTAAATCCTTAAAATAACATGTTATGTATGAAGGCTCATAAAATTAGAGTTGGTATTAACTTAGGTAGATCAAGGGATTCTTAGAGAAGTCAGCTATTAGCTGAACCAGCTCCTAGTGACACTGTACTGTCTGCTAAGTCTTTCTGCAGCTACTAAAGAACACATACACTGGATAAAAAGATTATTCCTTTGAAAAGCCAAAAAGAAAATGTCCTGTGACAAGTTGGGTCTAGCAAAGATTTTGTTTTGTGCTTTCATTTAACCTAAAATACTATTTTAGAAGTTTTTTAAATCCCTGACGTAAAAAAGAATTGAAGCAAAAAGAATATAAACCCAATAAGGTTTTTGAGATTATTTATTTTGTCTATTTTTCCATTTTCTTCAATATTTTATGCTTACCATCAGCGTGCGCCACATATTATCTTGCCTGAGAGTTGGCCCTTGACACACACAGGTGACATTTGACAGACTGGGAAGACGTCCTAGACAAATACCAGCTCAGAGCTGAAATGGAAATGGGCCAATTAGCACACAGATGGTAAATAGAACCCATGAGGCAAAAAGATCATGGCCCCACCCCTGTTGGGAAAGAATCCATAATAAAATTATGCAATGGTTTGAGACACTCTCGAGGTTGAGCACAAAGCTTGGAGAAGATTCATCAATTTAAAAAGAGAGCCACAGTTTCCTTCTCCACAGCTAAGTTTACCAGATAAATTAGTGCAATATTTTGGACATGCTTATACTAAAAAAGCATTTATTTATCTGAGATTCAAATTTGACTAAAGGTTCAATATTTTTATTTGCTAAGTCTGACAGCCCTATGAACAACAATAAAATGGAAATTTAGCGTGGGCTTCTGTAGTCTGGTATCATCAGGTTGGAATCACCATCAAGAACCCTTCCCCCATTCCCAATTCCCCACACACTCCCCCTTCTAAATAACCAAACAATTGGACTCTTTGTACAAAAACAGGTCAAGGAAGTATAAACACGATAAACCAGCTCCTGGGATTGCCCTGGCCCAGTAAAAAGGTTCAAGTGAGTCCAGAATGAGTTAGGGAAGTAATTGTTTATTTCCTAATCTTCACATGGGGCTACTGAGGGACACGCTTCTTACCCCATCCAGTCATTCTTCCTTCATTTCTGTGTTGTCTTCTGCTGTGTAATAATTGAGTGTTATAGAGCGGAGGTTGGTGAATGAAGGTAACTGAGATCACCTAGCTGGCTTCATTTTCCCTGGGGCTCATTTAAAGGCAAGATGGTCTCCAACTTCCCTCACTTTGCCCTCTTGATGTGTGAGTTTCTAACTTATGGAGCGTCTCTGTGACCTGAGCTTTTAGCTTCCTTTGGTGTTTTCCTTTTCATACTAAGGTTTATCCAAGGTTTCTTAGACCCATGTTTCCCAAAGGGCATCCTACAAAACCAGGTGCTAAAGAAAGTGCTCCAGGCTCTTCCTCCTTGATGCTTAGCATTGGGCCTCCATAATAAAGTATCTCTTAATAAAGTAGTATTTGATTCTTAGTGTGTTATTCATTCTCAAGGGCTCAACTCTTTTGTGTAGAAGAGGAAAAACTTTTTTCTCTGCCTTCTTAGATTCAGTGCTTGGGCCCTGAAAATGAAACTGACAAAAGACAGATTAACAGGAGAAGGGATTTATTATGTACTGTACACATTAGAGCTACTTATCTTGCCCTAGGGTCCCAGTTGGAAATTCCAACCCAGTGATCTCTGAAGAGCTTTTCCTGATTAGCATCATGGCTAATCACACACAAATAGAATTTACACACAGAACAGAAATTCTTTAAGCTCACAGACAAATGTAAAAGCAAGATCAAGAGGCATCTCTCTGAATTCCTGCACTAAGAACCCTCTTGAGCAGTTAGTATCTGGAAGCTTTTCTGGGTTTTTAGAAAAGACTCGGCCGGGTGCGGTGGCTCACTCCTGTAATCCCAGCACTTTGGGCAGCAGAGGTGGGCGGATCCTGAGGGCAGGAGATTGAGACCATCCTGGCCAATATGGTGAAACCCAATCTCTACTAAAATACAAAATCTTAGCTGGGCGTGGTGGGTGCCTGTAGCCACAGCTACTTGGGAGGCTGGGGACTCACTTGAACCTGGGAGGCAGAACTTGCAGTAAGCCAAGATGGCATCACTGCACTCCAGCCTGACAACAGAGCAAGACTCCGTCTCAAAAAAAAAAGAAAGAAAAAAGAAAAGACTTTCGAACCCCACTAAAATAGATGCTCCACTGGGGTTTTGCACACTTGATGTCTCGGAGAGTTCTGTTTACAAGGCCCATCCTAAAGGAGTTCAGGGATAAATCACTTTGAATATAGGAAGCACATTTACCCTCAGCCTTCCATTCTACCACCCATGTCATTTTTGCATAGGTGAAATGTGAGCAAACTATTAAAGAGGAGGAGTTAGAAGCAGGGCTGAGACTGTAGAAGTCAGGTGGCCACCTACCTAGCTTTGGTGATGGAGTAAAATGGAAGAAAGAGAATGAGTTTTGGAGAAAGGTGTTGGAGATAAATACATTTGACTAAGCATCTGAATGTGTTGTCTCATTGGAATTAATAGTTATTATATATTATAATTACAAAACCCCCTTTTTATTTGTGGAGACCAGAGGAAGAGGGGATGGAAGCAGGAACTCAAACTCAAGTCCAGTTCTTCTGGCTCCAAAGCATGTGTTCTTTCCCTTGCCCTCTCTAACTCTGTCTGCAGGTTTACCAGCTGCGCTGCATTGTATTGGTACTACATCTGCCCACAGTATGGTGGGGCCTTCCCTCTCTTTGCTGGGACCCAGGGCTGCCTCAGCCGATCCCTGACTACCAACCTTATTTGCAGCTTCTTGACAGTTACTTTGAAGCCTACCAGCACACGTTAGACACTGAGGAGAGTTTCGCCTTAGCACGAAAGTGATGATGGACATCATGCACCGGTGCCTGAGGTTTGATCTCAGCTACACCTATTTCATTAAGGCCTACTGGGAGGAATTCATCTGCCTGAAGCTTCGCCTGCAGTTAGTGAGAGGCATCCTCAACCAGCATGTGAGTATAGTTGGATTTTAAAATACTACATGCAAGAAGAGGATGGAAAACACCAGCCAGAAATGAAAGTCGTGTTTTCCTTCCATTGCAGATCTGGAATCTGTGTTTTCTAGGCCAGCATGTACAGCATACTTATTAGTAAGCTCATTCGCATTGTTGAAATCCCAGTATAATTATGGTCTTAAAGAGAGGTTTCCACCCCTAATTAGAGTTAATAGTTCACAAGGAATTGATGACCTTAGTTTTCATTAGATCGCAAAGTTTATTCGTAGTGAAAGAACAACTAATGATACATCTTTTTGACATTAATGTATTATTTTTTTAAAGTGTGATTTATTTTTAGGACTCTGAAAGAAATCATCATATTGTATTTCCTCTAGGGAAAAGCTAATGGCTTGAAGCAAGCAAGAGACAAAGGATTGTTGCCACGTGGTTGAAATTTTTTCCATGTAGTCAATTATTTAACAGAAAGATTCCTCTTTTACTTCTTAAAATTGTCTGAGGCCGGGCGTGGTGGCTCAAGCCTGTAATCCCAGCACTTTGGGAGGCCGAGGCGGGTGGATCACGAGGTCAAGAAATCGAGACCATCCTGGTCAACACGGTGAAACCCCGTCTCTACTAAAACTACAAAAAATTAGCTGGGCATGGTGGCGTGTGCCTGTAATCCCAGCTACTCAGGAGGCTGAGGCAGGAGAA